ATATACACGTAACAGTAACACATGCATGCAACAGTCACAGATAAATGTTACAGGGGGGAGGGGAGGGGGGAGGAGTTCCCACAGCGACTGAGCCAAAAGGACTCATGAGCTGCGGTTTTGGCATTCTCCCCCCTCCCCCGGTGCTGTAAACATGTGACAAACACGACTACAGACTAGAAATAGAACCGTCTCATCAACTGTGTCACACCACTGCCCACACCTTGTCTATAAATAGATGTAGCTCGTGTTCCATCTTGTATCAGTGAAAGACCAAACATCAGCGACTCATCACTCCATGGTTTATTGTTTACTCCAAACGAAGACAAATATTTGGAAATGAACGCCATGCCTGTATCAACAACTGATAAGATTGGGACTGCTGTAAAACTCCCGACTCATCGAGAGATGAGATAACAATTATTTCCTGACAGAATCCCCACTGACAGAATAAACTATTGAGACAGACAACAATTATTTCCTGACAGAATCCCCACTGACAGAATCCCCACTGACAGAATAAACTACTGACAGAGAGACAACTATCAAAGCTTTTGTAAGTCCTTGGCAACGAAAATTTACATTTTTTAAGCCTTTAATTTTACGTTCAACGTTTTAATCCACAGAGAGAGATGGGTTTTTAAATGGACATATATAAACAAAAGGTGCGGAGTCAAAAAAAGAAAAGATATATATAAAATCTATATAAATATAAATCTAGAAAAAAAAGGCTCTATAGATAGATAGTTAAGATAGTAGATAGAAATTGCACAACAGGCTGAACAAAGGCAGTTTCTCTGTGTCTCATTTTATTTCAACAAGCACCTACAAGCACCTACAAGCACCTACTATTCACTACCATGCCTCACTTAGTCTCCTTTAGTAGAGATGCACTGCTCACTGTTCATAGTCAGATGCTGACACACAAATTATTATAAATTCTATAATTTCATGTCGGAGTATATCTATTTATAGGACGTCAGGGAATGTAGACTGAAGACATTGATACAAAGGATAATCCGGTTTTCCCCCCAAACGACAACTACTATGGAGTGAGAGTTTTGGCTCCACTGACGATTACTTGAGGTTGTAAACCATTGCTTTTCCACGCGTATGCCGATGTGATGTTTGATGCACTGTGAGCGAGAAATATCAAACTCTAACCTAATTGCAGAGAACATCAATTTGTGGTTTAATTTTATAAGATCAAGAGGAGCCTTGCTCAAAAACAAGTGAAATAAAGTGGAGTCCACTTATAACGAGTCCTGAAATAACGAGAAGTCTGTTATAAAGACATTTTTCTAAAACCCGTTTTTTTTCCTTCTTTATCTTTGTAAATAAAATACTGCTATAGCGTAATCAGACAAACATGATGCGAGTCGGTTATATATATATATATATATAGCGGAATATAGCTGCTGCAGTGCACAGGGCATAGGCCATTTATTCATGCAAAACCTCGCCAGTTGTTGGTGATCTTGCGAAACAAAGAATGGGAGAGCCTATGAGTGTCAAAAATGAAGGTCGGAGCGAATGAGTGGGGAGGGTGTGGTAGTGGTATGCACAGACAAGCAGAACGCATCGCGTGATAGGATAGGCCGGCCTAGTCTAGATTATCTAGGTCTACCACGCCTCTCACTTCTCCGATGCGGGGATGGAAAGGTCACAACGATATGACTGTGATGGATGGAGCGAATGTGTGACGTGCGCGCAAGCAGACGGAACGCACCACAGGGCGTGGTGGGGTGGGGGACAACACAGCGGGTGAGTTAGCCTAAAGAACTTTATTTTTGATCGCCGACGCCGAGCTGTCAACATCGCTAGCGCTAGAGAAAGAAACCTTATTCGATTTTTGATCAAGTAAGACTAGAGATCATGTTGAACCAAATGATCATCAGGAGGATTACAAAAAGAAACGAACAGAAAACCAGACTCATAGATTAGGCCTACTGTATGACATACCATTTCCCTTGAATTTATTACTGGATCCCTTATAGCGAGAATCATTATACGGATGTTTCGCACCGGGCCCCTCCCTCTCGTTATAACAGGATTCCACTGTATTTTTTACTGCTCATTTTGTACTGAAATATCAGCGCATCTCTCTTTCTGGGGGCAGGGAGGAATTTTTTTAAATAGTTTTTGCTAACAGAGGTAACTATTAATGAAAATAGGTAACCGCCAAAGTCGAGCAGTTTTGTTTTCTCAAAGTACCTTTAAAAGGCATAAATTTCAAATGAAGTATAGTCTGGGAACGTTGCCCCAACCACAATTGAAGTTTCTGATTCAGACATGCATCTAAAAATCTTAAGATCTAGAGTCTACATCTAGATTTCTAGATGATCTAGGCTAGTCGGGGATCTTATACTTTAGCACGTTAAATTCTTCAATTGATTTTATTCCCTTTTCCGTAACGAGCGAACACTTTAAAACATGATCAATCTAATCAAGATTATACTCACAGGCTTCCAAAATCACAATGGAAGACCGAAAACCACTGTTATACCATTATACCATCTGTTCATGACAAAATTACGGTAGTTTGCGCATTTTTAGGCCCAGTTAAAAGTTTTGAAGGTCTGAGTCGGGGATTAGTAGACTTTATTTAACGTGCTAAAGTATAAGATCACCATCTAGATCTAGATCTAAATTCTAGATGTAGATCTAGTCTAGATCTAGAAAATCTAGATTCTAGATCTAGATCTAGATATCTAGATAGGTCTAGATTAGATTCTTATTTTAGAATCTAGACTAGATCTAGATCTAGGCCTCCTAATAATATTAGTCTTAGACTCTAGATCTAGATCTAGATCTGTAGATGAGTATATTAGTAAGTCTTGTAGGAGGAGCGCAGGCCTAGATATCTAGTTAGATCTAATCTAGATTATATAGAGTCTATATCCTATATCTAGAATCTAGATCGAGATCTAGATCATCATCTCTAAGACAAGATCTCTATTTTAAACAGAAAACTCACCTTGGTTTATGAATAAACCCATGTAAGATATAAACACAACAAAACTCAGTTTCGTGGGGAACAACTCTGCTGAAAACAAAGCCATGTTGTTCTGCGCGAGGTGTAGCCAACTCCAAACCGCTGGTGAGAAAACTGTGAAGAGATAAGCGAGGGGTGCGACACTCTCTGTTTATTGTGACTGACCACTGGCTGTGATGGTGAAGACAGAGCATTCCACCTTTCCTGTTTCCAACAGACGCGCGATGATCTCCCCTTGTGGCGCGGCTCCGTACTTTGAGGATGTGGCAAGGCGCTCTCGTACTGGTACTGGTAGTCAGTGCTGGGCCTGTGTGTGTCACTCTGTGTGTCACTCTCGTGCTGTCAGTCCTCTGTGTGTCATTCTCGTGCTGTCAGTCCTCTGTGTGTCACTCTGTGTGTCACTCTGTGTGTCACTCTGTGTGTCACTCTCGTGCTGTCAGTCCTCTGTGTGTCACTCTGTGTGTCACTCTCGTGCTGTCAGTCCTCTGAGTGTCACTCTGTGTGTCACTCTCGTGCTGGGCCTGTGTGTGTCACTCTCGTGCTGTCAGTCCTCTGTGTGTCACTCTCGTGCTGGGCCTGTGTGTGTCACTCTCGTGCTGGGCCTGTGTGTGTCACTCTCGTGCTGGGCCTGTGTGTGTCACTGTCGTTCTGGGCCTGTGTGTGTCACTCTCGTGCTGGGCCTGTGTGTGTCACTCTCGTGCTGG